CAAGCATTATTGGCATCCTTATATCTTATATAAGATGCCTCTGATTTGTCTGATTTAAATTCCATTTTCTTATTTTTAATCTCTTGTTTTACTTCTCTACTAAGCAACATTGGTTTCAATTTGTTTCTTTTAAATTTATTATCCGATGGTACTGTAACGGACCCTCCATCAATTGATGCTCCTAGTGCTTACCAAGGACCATCAGCACCGCACCAGAGACCATAAGCACTGCAGCCCCCACGAACCGCCGCAGCTTGGTTGGGGTCTCACCGTCTCCTACCCATCCTGGACCTATGACAAGGCTCCAGGCTCCAGTGGGTGAACCTCTCTTCCTTCAGAGAGCAAAGCAGGAACAGCTCTTAGAAGAGCTAGTGATTAGCATCCAGTGGAGTATACAGAGTATAGCAATCCTTAGTGGGATATAGCAGTAACCTACAACACGAGACGAGGCTGCGAGTTGAGGGTAAGAAGGTCTGAAGGTTTATTGAACAGCTTTTTCCCCAGAAGATTGACGCCCAGGTGAAGCTTGTGGGGCACAGGACACAGAATTAATATATGTGAAAAAAAATTGTTTAAAATGTATACCTATACGTTGTAGTAGATTCTCAGTAGCATGCAAAGAGAAAATACAATAATAATCGTGCAATAAAAATGCATAAGAAATGGTTAAATACTACTTCCAGTGTAAGTTGGTGAGATTTATGCGGGCAGAGAGGCTCCGCTACTCACAAGTGTTCTGTGTCAATTATCCAGACAATTGCAGCAGTCTGCAGAAGAAGTCCCAGAAGTCCTACCGGATTGAACAATAATGTGAGTCCGGAGGTGGTTCTGGCTCTGTCCGTGTCCCTCAGCTGTGGTCCCAATGAGCCAATAAGCCGGGGAAACTTTTGTCCGGTCGCAGGGTTTGTAGGTGCCGCCTACCTTAATGATGTCAGTGCGTGCTTACGTGGGCGCGTTTCGCCTTCCGGCTTCCTCAGTACGTAAGTGATATAGTCTCGAATAGCAGTGGGGGAACATATACAGGCAATAATAGTTCCGCCGTCAAGTGTTGCCACTAATTGCAAATACATAGTCCAGCCTCTTAAAGAAAAACAGGGAATCACCTTTTCGTCTGAATGCAGTGATATATTAATGTTTAAAACAATTTAGAAAAAATAACCATACAGTGGTGTATAGTACAAACAGCTTTGGTAATATATATAAGTAGAACAGTTCTGGTGTACCTAATATACCACACAGGAGAGAGGGAGACAGACTAGCACTAAGCTGCTCGAAAACTGGTAATGATAGGGATTCACTAAAAACCTATATAGAACAAGGGAAAAGAACTCTCTAGAAGAGTGGGAATACCAGGAGCTGGCTAGGTGACTAATGGCTAAAATACTAATACATAGAGATAAATATAAAAAAAAAAAAGAAATATATAAATATAAAAATATATATATGGTACTATGCCTTTAAATCTGGAATGGACAAAGTATCCCTATAAATGTGCAAAAATGTGAGTAAAAGTGCTATGAGTGGAGATCTCAAATAAACGGGATATCCCTTTAAATGTGCAAAAATACAAAGAGAATGCTGCTATACCTTTAAATGTCCTTTAAGAGTGTGCAAACATGCAAAGCAGTGCTATATAGGGGGGGTGATAAATAAAAAAAAAAAAACGTATATATAAATAAATAAATACAAAAATGCAAAAAGGGGAAAGATGAGAGACCAAATTCTCTGCTGGATGACCAAAAAATATGTATGAAACTGGTGTCTATATCCCAAATATAGACACCAGTTTCATACATATTTTTTGGTCATCCAGCAGAGAATTTGGTCTCTCATCTTTCCCCTTTTTGCATTTTTGTATTTTATTTATATATATATATATATATATATATATATATATACCCTTTTTTTTTTTTTTTTTTTTTTTTTTTTTTTTTTTTTTTTTTTTTTTTTTTTTTTTTTATATTTATATTTATCTCTATGTATTAGTATTTTAGCCATTAGTCACCTAGCCAGCTCCTGGTATTCCCACTCTTCTAGAGAGTTCTTTTCCCTTGGTAATATATATATCTAATCAATAAAAAAAATGCAGAATCAATAAAAATCTAAATTCAACATTAAGCAGGAAATACAAATATTAAACTAACACAATTACAAGATGGTGCAATAGCATTTATAGTTAAAGGGGAGAAAAAAGAATAAATGTTAAAAATCTGTTGTGGAAGACTCTGAAAATATGTAGCACCAAACTGAGTTAACATTTTTCAAAATATGTATTATACAATAGTATATTGTGGCATAGAAACCGTTTATCAATGTAGCATATGTAGAATAGAAAAAAACAGATAAAGTGCAACTGTATATATATCTCGAAATTGAATAGTAGCAACGGAGATGCAATGAATATATGGTACAAATAATCACAAGATGTTAAATTCAGGATGTAAAATATGCATATAAAATATATGAGAAAAAAAAATCATTATAAAGAATAGCTATAAAAAATGGCCCAACTCAAAATATTTATTCATGCCATTTGGAATCAAAGTGTCAAATTCATATATCATTTTCATCTCCGCCCTTCCCATTTTTTGATTAAAGTCGCCCCCTCTCCAATCATGGTGTATTTTTTGAATGCCTTTAAAGCGTAACTGAGAGGGATCACTATTATGGTGGTCTATAGATTCTAAAAATGGTAGTCTATAGATTCTAAAACAAACTGTTTTTGTATTTCTGGATACTTGGCTTATTCCAGAAAGAAGGCAGTAGCTTGTATACCTAGTTCGTGTTGAATAATGGTATACAGAGATGATACGTCTGCTGTAACTAATAGGTATCCCGTTTGCCATTGAATGTTATTCAAGATCTGCAGTATATTAGTGGTTTCTCTTAAGTATGAGGGACACTTTTTCACCAAAGGCTGCAGAACATGATCAACATATTCGGAAAGTCTGCTTGATACAGAATTGATACCCGAAATAATGGGTCTTCAGGGGAGGGGGGTAATATGTTTGTGAATCTTGGGCAAAAAGTAGAAAGTGGGGATCCTTGCGTCCTCAATCTTTAAATAATGATGTTCTTTCTCAGTTAAAATACCCAAGGAAAAACCCCTTTCTATTAATGCCGAAAATGTATCTTGTATCTCACCTGTTGGATCAGTGTTCAATATAGAGTATGTGGTGAGAAAGAGAGAATATAGGGGGGTGCAAATAGCATATACAATACTTTACTGTATATTTACTGTAGTGAGTAAATCACCTCCTGATTATCCTATAATAAAGACAGTAAAAACATACATAATATAATACTGTTATATAAAGTAGGAATAATCAATTTAAAGGTATTGGGTCACTCACAGACACAGAGCCACATAGAGCTGGCTCTGGCTTCAATAGCAGATGAATAATAAGCTTATTCCAGCTTTCTCTACCAGGATTACTCCTTTCTGGTCCTTCAAATAATTTTCAGGATGTCCAATGGGTTAAAATATATAAACTTTACTATGCATAAAACAACATATAAATGAAAACAATAAAAATACTATATAGTGAAAAAGTCCACAGCACTAACGCGTTTCAACCTCCTATATAGGAGAGATGACCAATATAGAGAAAAGCCAATTCAAACGTGGCGGAAACTTAATCAGTATGATAGATCATTTACCCCACAAAGAAGGGAAACTCGGCGAGAGTTTGCCAATTATGAAAGATCATCTCCTCCACAGAGAAAAGACATTTCTACATTCAATCGCTTTGAACCCATTCAAAATTTGGGAGAGGATGTAGAAAAATCTTTTTTAGGAAAAAGTTGGAGAGAACCATCTATGAGAACTCCTATAGCAACAAAAAAGAGACACTGGGATTTAGAAGACGGGGAAATAGAGGAAGAAAGAAATTGGAGAGACCAAAAAGGAAAAATGATGAGGAGATAAGAATTTTTAATTTATCAAAAAAAGTTTTAAGTTTAGCACATATTAATATTTTAAATAAGGGCTTGAAATTTGCACCTCGCTGCACTTTAAATAAATTTGAGGCATACACAGATATCAATAGATTTATGAGAAGGCTTTGTTTAAAAAAATTCTTTAATAGAAAACCAGAAAATGAAACAAATACTAATATTAATCAAACTTCAGAATACAAACATACTGATTTGAAACCGGGATCTAAATTCTATCCCATCCACCTTAAATCGAACTGTATGAAAGGGCCTGCATTAAGGATATAAAAGAAATAAAATCAACTAAAATAAATAATCTTACTATCCGAGAAAAAAACGCTATGGAGGATCTTAAAAAAGATACCACAATAGTTATTAAACTGGCGGATTAGGGAGGAGGGATAGCTGTTATGGATAAGGAGTTATATACCAAAGAGATATACTGTCAGCTTAGTGATATAACTACCTATAAAAAACTTGAAGGAAATCCTCAAAGCGATATAAAGAAAAAGTATGAATTATATCTTAAGCAAGGATTAATTAAAGGTATACTTACTCAAAAAGAATATGCATTCTTAAACGTAAATTCGCCTCGCATAGTAGTTATCTACATATTACCTAAATTACACAAGAATCTGCAAGACCCCCCAGGAAGACCTATTGTCTCTGGGATAGGATCATTATTGTCTAATTTATCTAAATATGTAGATACTCATCTTCAACCTATTGTGAAAACCAATACCTCATATCTTAAAGATTCAATGAGCCTATTATTATTACTTAAAGATTTTAAATGGGAATATGACTTTATTTTAGTCACGTGCGACGTCACGAGCCTGTATACCTGTATCAACCATTTGTTGGGCTGTGAGGCCGCACGTTACTTTTTAGAGACCTCTGCACTGTACCCCACGGACCAGGTGGATTTTATTATGGAAGGGATTTTATTTATCCTCCAGAATAACTTCTTTTGGTTTGAGGGAGAATATTATCTACAGTGTAGGGGTACTGCTATGGGGACCAGGTTCGCACCCAGCTATGCAAATCTTTTTATGGCATATTGGGAAAATAAATTTGTTTTTTCTCCACATGGCTGCTGTGCGAAACTGGTCCTCTATAAAAGATATATAGATGATATCTTTTTTATTTGGAAAGGAGATGAGACACAGGTTTTATCTTTTTTAAACTTTTTAAACAACAATCAATGGAATATTCAATTAACACAGGAGATTAGTAAAGAAAAAATAAATTTTTTGTTTGGAATATATTCCGAAAGGACAATTTTTAAGACTGAAACGAAATTGCAGTGACCAAGAATCTTTTAATAAACAGGCAGATATCCTCAAAAATCAATTCTTGAATCGGGGATATAGGTTGGAGCATTTAAATAGTGAAATAAATAAAATTAGAAAGCTAGACAGAAATACTCTCCTTAGGTATAAACCGAAAAAAGTAGAAATGGATGAAGAAAAAACTATACCATTCATTTTTATTCATAATAAGGATCAAAAAGAACTAAAAAGGATTTTAAACAAGAATTGGCATATTCTCCAACAGGATCAAGAGATCCAACCTTTTTTGGAGAATAGACCAAAAGTTGTATTTAGGGGAGCAAAAAACTTAAAAAATATACTTACTTCTAGTTATATAGATGTTCCTAATACTATTTTTTTTAGAATTATTTAAACATAATACACAAGGATTTTTTCACTGTGCTGGCTGTATGGGATGTAAGAATTATAAATATTTGAATAGAAAAGTAAAAAACTTTAAATCCAGAACAGGTATAACATATAATATTGATTCATTTATCTCTTGTGAATCCAAAAATGTGATTTATTTACTCACGTGTCCTTGTGGGCTACAATATATTGGTAAAACATCTAGGTGCCTAAAAACAAGGATACGTGAGCATATTTATAATATCAGGAGGGTTTTTTTAAAACATAATGTATCTACACATTTTTTAAACTGCCATGGAGGAGATCCCTCTGGACTCCAATTTTTGGGGATCCAAAAGATTGAAACCCATTGGAGAGGAGGGTGCCTAGAATCGACGTTGAGCCACTGCGAGATGAGGTGGATATTTAATTTAGACACCTTGTCTCCTGGCAGACTCAATGTTGATTTTGAGATGGCAGCACTTATTTAACCCCCCCTCTCTTTTTTCACGTTTGAATTATTTTAATTTTATTTATTTTTTTAAAGGAATTTATTTTTATACTTTTTTATATCTCCCTTTTTTTATAAGTTTGTGTAACGGATCGCCTGGCACCCCGAATGGGTACCTCCGTTGAAGGATGCTCCTAGCACTTCCTGAGGACTCCAAGCACTGCAGCAGACACCAAAACCACCGAACCGTAGGAGCATATGAATGCTCTCAAGCATATGAATGCTGTAGACAGTTGAATAGGAACCATACAAATAGGTTTACTCTCCTAGCAATCAAACTGGAACAGCATACAATAAATCCTTCCCCCAATAATGAGACGACACTTCACTTTGAGGGTTAAAACAGGAACTCAAGTGCTGGCACACCCAGCCTGGTTTTTATTACAATCCACAAAACATAGTACTGCCCACAGGGTTTTGCAGAACCACCAATAAACACATTACAACACATACAATGCAAGTACAGCAGCCAATCAGACACAATGGGAAAATAGAAACACACCCAGCATATTCCTCCCCTCTGCTTAGGAGATAATTGAGTCAATTACTGTATCTACTCAATTATCTCCAAGCTGAAAAGTTACTTTTTGTACATTTTTATAACTTTGTGAGTTAACATCGCACATACATAAAACTTATATTATTTTAACCAGTATAACTTGGGGACAAACATATCCAAAATTCACTTGAATAGGTTCAGGGGTTTAACGGTTAG